TAACCGCCTCCCGGTTAGCTCAATGGATAGAGCGCTGGACTGTTGTGCGGGAGGTCGAGGGTTCGAGCCCCGGCCGGACCAACACTCAGGGTCTTAAAATAATTGAGAAGAATTTGCTGCCTTTCTATAACATCAAGAAATGGTTAGATATTCTAGTCTTCTCGGATAGGGACAAATAAATGGAGGTCCCGTCTCCTGCAGGGTTGGGGTAGGAGACGTTAATTTCCCACACACGAGATTACTGTGTGATGGATGTCCTCCCTTGGGGTGGGATGGGTGAGAGGGTGGACTAGCATGAATGGTTCCTATATTCCTTTCTAGTCCTTCCCCACTGCAAAACTTAATGCAGTGAAAACGGACAAAATTAACTAAATTAAATTAAATACTGGTAGTTACCGCTTTTGCTCCTACGAGTGATTACAACATGTCCCATGAATTAAAGATTAAGGTCATGAGAATAAAGTAAATAATCCCCAACCATAGCTGTTGGTTGTTAAACAAATTCTCCCTACCAGTACCCTAAGAAACGTATCAAGGACAGTATGGAGAAAATACACACTGATATTAGGGTTAAAAAGAGCTCACCATCAAAACTTCCATTCTGAACAGCATACTCCAAGATAGCCTCATAGGTTACTCTGGATGGTTCAAACACAAATACGCCAGAATTGAAACAGTCAGGCCAGCCAATATCTGGTACAGCTGATAGCTCATCTCTCTCGAAGAGTTCATCACAGTTTTGAACCACTAAAGTGTCAGCATCTAAGAACACACATTTTCTATACTGCGTCAAGTTCCAACAGTGAATTTTTGTGAAGGTAATACCGAGCTCTGGTCTCGATAAGAGTGCTAAGTTTACAGCATCCCCACTGTCAAGAACATCCACAATTTCTAGGTGATCCCAAACTCTGGCAAGGCGTTGCCTGGAAGACAGTGCAAATACAATGTTGTTGGTTATTCTAGATGTATAATCAGCTGTTAAGATAAAAGTGTTGGATTACAGTTTCAAAAGGTTCAGGGGAAACCAATAAAAACTGTGTGACAGGGAAGGGAAGGAGGGGTTTGCTGTAACCTCTGAGACCTTCACACCTTGATCCTGTTTGAGAAAAATCTGTTTTTTCCATGTCCCCTTGAGACAACAAATTAGCATATTTGGATACTGACTTTTTGGCAATGGAGTACATGAACTTTTAAGCAAGACACTGTAGAAAAATTCGTGGTCCTTCCTCTACACTGCATTTTCAAGTTTCATGCACTTTCAATCTTCCAAACATGAATGATTTTCCATGTCTTTTACAAGGACTATTCTGAAGTTTTGTATGACCGAATTTCGAGAAGTTGATTTCAAAATGATGGGAAACGATCATTTTAAAATCAGTTTTTTTGATACTCTTCATTTCCCAAAAAAATGGATGTTACTTCCTAGGCTTGGAAAATTACATTATAAAATTATGTATCTTTTCAGATTCATCAGAAACTGTAAAAACCCTGATTTTCCTCGGATTGTATGTTTTGAGGTCAAAAGGAATTATTCAAGTCGCCTTCCCAATATTACACTGTTGACTCTTTCAAGTTGTTGAAAGGCAAAATCAATACAATAGTTTAGTATAAAAAAGCCCTGAACTTTACCCTTTCAATCTGCAATAGTCACGAGTGGATTAGATCTGTAATTAGATTCCATTCGGAAACAGTTTGCATAAACAAACATATCTAAACCCCATTCAGTGAAGGATGTGGCTGTCTGAAGCATGTTGATGTAGCGACAGACATCTGGCAGTTTTCTCTGGCGAATATTTGATTTAAAGACATTGATACATTTTCGTACATGTGACTTTGGAAAAAGAACAATATTACGGCCAGACATTAAGTTGATTTGAAGCTCGCCATACGACAACTGCGCACAATACTTAACTCATGTCAGATTATTAAACTTGCATAAATTGCACAAAACAAAGAATCAAAAATGGGCACACAATAGCAGTTCGTGTAGGAGACCTTGCTCAAAAAACAAGATTAACGTTTTTTTCTTAGTGGGGATTCGTACCTGGTTGGTTCCAAAACTTCTTTGGCGACGAGTAGAACCAGCTTCCTTGTCGTATTGACTCGTCTAAGGGAGTAGCCGAGAACAAGCGCGCCATTGGCGTAACTGTTGTTGGTCACAAGACTTACGAAAGCTTCGTCTGCGACAACTTCTCCGGGCATTGAGACACTTCTTAGCAACCAAAAAGGAAGAAGGAATATTGATCATGAACGAATTTCACTTGGTACATGCGACAACCGTCGACGTAACCTTTGTACTGGACTCAGTTTTCTAACGAACAACTTTTCCCAGAAACTGCTTCACGCCTAACTTACCATGGGTGGGGAGAAAAATGTCTGTCTCTTATTCGGTATATTACGAATGTTACCCGAGTTGATGTCCGATTTATGAGGTCATATTCGTGGGAACTCGTCGTTTTTAGACAGATTTTCGAACATGACCCTACCCTAGACATTTTTTTTAGTACCCTGAAATCGAGGCTTTGTACTCATGGCAACTACAATCCATTGTTTTTTCGGCTTTGTGACTTCTCAAAGTCAAAGTCGAAGTGTTTTCCGGAATTTTTGTTCATTTCGAAAAGATCTCTTGATTCAGGAGAGACACCTTTTGTCTTGAAGGATTCACAAAAAGCAGACACCGTGGAGAATTCAGGGTATGCTCGTGTTGAAATTTAATAGTTGTGACTTGGTTTCCATGTTGTCAATTCCTTAACTTGCTAACAACGAACTAAAATGAGTGGAAACGAAGAGAAAGATCATAGGGATTTAGCTCCAACAGAAGAGCAAATTGCACGCGCAGATTCCAGTGCTTCCTCAGTAATAAGCAGAACCAGCACTCCAGAGCATTTAGAAGACGATGTTTTCAACATGGATAAACAAGAACCGCAGTTGGACGCCGAACAACTTTCAGCTGATGTCGCTGCTAGAGGAATTGTTAATCCAAATAAGTTTTCAGGTGATGTTCCCCAATCAGGGATACGCGGTATGTTAATAGCTGCTTGTGATATCCCCTCAAATGCTTTCAACAAGAGTCAAGAAGAAAATGGGAAAGATTCTGATCCCGAACTTCAAGAGGAACTCTCGCGAGAAAAGCATGTATCTTCGGGGACAGAAGAACTTCAGCCTGCCCCCCAGGCAGTTTCTATGTATAACAAAGACTCTTCTCAAAGTAGACCATCATCTGCAAGTTCATTGTCTTCCTTAGCAACAGGAATTAATAAGAGAGAGGTCTCTTTTCAAAATGCCGATGAGGATGAGGGACTTTTAAAAGAAAGAAGTTTTACTCATACTGAAAATAGAATAGAAGTGATTTCAATTTGTACGCAGACTGAATGGAGTTGGTTAAAAGACATGGAATTGTATCAGGAAACCAGAAATAGATCAAAGTCTGAATGGGCTGAAAGACCAGAGAGGAAAATGTCTAAAGATGTTTCAAAGTCCCCTTCAGGTATTAAATCGATGGAATATAAATGGTAACATTTACATCAACATCCACTAATCATCCTCTAACCCCAAGTTCTGATTGGGTGTACCCCTGATAATTGGTACATTTAACCCCCCCCCCTGGTAACAATTTTGGGTAGAAGGTGTTGAAGAGAAAACATGGAATGATTATTAAGAAGAAGATATCGAAGTTAAATAAACATCTACTGTAGGCCCTCTAGGCCTACAGTAGATGTTCATGAAAAGGGAGGGCCTGTAGGCCCTCTTTTCTC